ATACTTAATTATTTACCAACTTTCTTTACAGCTTCGCCATTTCTATGATTTTTTTTAACCTCCTCATTTTTTTTTAACCTCCATCAATAGAGAGCAAATTTTATAAAGTGCGAGGAAAAGAAGCAACCCAAGTTATTTCCAAGTAAATGCCACCAAACAAGCAATAAAACAGGATTACTGTATTGCAGTCTTGCATTTGAGAATTTGGTAAAATTCTGCCAAGCTAAGGGAGTAGGTGTTCTGGTTCCCAGTTCTGTTACAGCATTTTAACAATACAGCATGCTCCCATCACTGAAACTACTGGCCAGACAACTAAGGGACTTCTCCTTGCCTTGATTTTTTATCAACCTGTTGTCAGTAGAATTTACATAAACCACAGGAAACTACACTTAATCTACAAAACTGAATTTCTGAGCAAAGGCTATTATCTACACTAACAAAGTCATGACATTTATGCTGCTTGTGGGGCTTGGTTCAACTGTTCCCAGGAGCCCTGGCTGGTCCAACTGCCTGGGATTCCCAGCATTGCACAGAGGGTACGGAGCATGGACTGGAGCGATGCTGCTAGGCTTTGTGTGTGTGTGTGTGTGCACGTCCCCTACTTTGGAGTACACAGGGCTGAGACCTTACTGAGGATTATTAGCAAGGAAGACATTTATTTAGATACAGTCTGAAAGAAATGGTTAGTAATGACCCTGAAGCATTAACTGCAAAAATGTCAATTCTGCATTTCAAATAATGCTACAAAAGCAGCTTAAATTAGTTCTGAAGCACCTTTTTTTTTTTTTTTTTAGAACAGATTTAGTGAACAATGAAAGAAACTGAGATGAAGCTTCACTGGAATGCAAGAGAGTGAGAAACCATGGAATGACATGTATTATCTGATCAAGGGAAATATTTCATGGTTTATAAAGGGAATTAGATCCTGAGATTCTGAAACTCCTATTTTTCATGGTTTGTGATCATTTAATTTCAAGTATGAACCTTTCTGTTTGCATTATGACCATGTTATTACAAATGAATGTAACATGACAAAGTTAGGCTATTTTTCCTGAAAAAAAATGAACTCTTCTCCTTCTTTGATTTAATTACATAAATAATTAACATAAAAATAATACCTTTTCATATCTATGTCTTACTTTGGATTATTGCAGTGTCTTTCTTGATGTGTGACCCCACCTCCACAAGTGCGGGAACACTCTGACCACTCGGACCAGGCCGACCACTGCCCATTGACGGGCTTGGGGCCATGTTCACCGTATTTGACACACTGTCCTCTTCGACACCACTGCCAAAAGAATGCCAAAAAGTACACGGTTAGTGGCAGCCACTAAGTGCAAAAAATAAAAGATCCATTTTTTAAAAGCCTCAGATGCAAGTGTTTAACCCTGTAAACATGAGGTCTGTCTTTGGACTCAGTGAGATTTGGTTAGAAGAAGGATTCTGAAGCAGCACATTGATCAAAACAATGATATATAAAAGTAATATCCTAAAATTTGCCCAGGCTCTGGATAAGATCACCCGTGTCATTTAAAAATACACTGCTCAAGTTCTGCTAAGAACTCTCCCTTTTATCATTCACTTATTAGACATTGCAAAAAGAGTAGAAAGGGAGAGAGATTGTAATGTCAGCAACCTGAAAACAATATTCTAATGGAAGAAACACGTTACCCCAAAATAAAATATTCCCTGTAGCTATAGCCTTGAATAAATTACAAGGTTCAAATTAAAACAAATAACCATGTTTTTTCAGTAGTGATCACTGAGGCCAGTGTGCATGGTGACCTTAGCTTGTACAGCAAGTTTTATGACTTAAGGAATGCTTACTGCAGAATGGAATTTGAAGTCTTGATCTAATTTTTGTTATAATCAGTGGAATTTCTTAATGACTTTGATTTGCCCAAAGTATCTTATTGCATACTTTGATGGGTTTGATGGGAGGGGTATCACTCGTGTATGTGTCACTGCAAGCAACAGTCTTTTGCAATGCAGTCTTGTACTCAGCAAATCAGCATTCCATATCATGAAACCTGCAGTAACGTGGAGAAAACTGGTTTTGACAGGAGTTAGTATCTGAGCTCAGGGTAAGTTAATAAAACAGCATACCATATTTATGCCACAAGGTGTTCCTTCTGCTGCTGGCATGAACTTTGTCTCACATCTGTGACCCACTTTGTGACACCAGAGAGACTTGCAAATATCCTGAAAAGAAAAAGAATTTGTACTCATATAATTGCCCATTATGTCCTGGTATTCAAAAATAGTAATAAATGATGTATGCCTCAGATTCTTAGCAGAGCAATATTCTATATATTGTCTTTGCGTTCATGCACCATTTCACTGGATTTTTTTAAAAAAACTATTTGAATGTGAGACTACAGGATAACAAATCTGTGGTAAAAAGTTCAAGGTTGCAATTAAAATAAATCTGCGGGAGTAATGAAATTCCAAAGAGACCTGGTTTTCTAAAACACAGGAGATGTCTGGAAACACAGTCTCTTCACAGTGTTTTTCACTCTCACTTTGTTTATTGGCAGTAGAGGAAAAACAGCTGCCATCACCTGATAAATGTGGTTAGTATAAAATAAATCAAAATAATGCAGGATAATAATAGGAGTACAAGAAATGACAACACTTCTTTTCAAAATGAGCACTTGGGTTTATTTAATAAAACATCTTCTCTAAAGAGATCAGCAAAGGTTGTAATAGTCTCTAAAACAACAGGTTAATCCTCAGTGAAAACACAAGAATATAAATTACATTTTATTACTCTAAAATAACCCTATAGATCTGTTCAGACTTCCATGCCAATGCATAAGAGCAAAACAAAACACAGGGAACTTCTCCCTTTCCCCCCGCCAACTCTGTGAAAGCTCTGATCAAAGCTGCACTGCTTCCTCCTGGAAAGCACACTTTTCTTTCTGAAACTCCCCTGGGATGGTCATATTCCTCTAGGGAGGCCAATGCTTTCAGAGTAAATTGCTAAGCAAGATAAGGTTGAGAAATAGCCCGGCCCTCTGGAGAACATTACATTACTTGTACTTATTTATAAATGCACTGCAGTTCTGTAATGTAATTTTAACTTTTCAAAAGGATATCAATAGGTACCTTTACAAAGCTGAGGTTGCACAGTTTTGCTTTCATTCCAAATTGCCATTTGCACTGAGTATCAGCATCATAGATCTGCCCTGGCAGCTTGTCAGGGTATTTATACTGTCCTGTTTGCTTAGGTTCATCAATCAGGCAAGCAGCTTGAGCTGTACTATAATGAGAATGTGTATTAATCATGACTATCATCTTTTTTTTTTTTAATCAGAATCTTTTATTTGCTACAGAACAGCAAAAACACATAGTATGGTATACAGTACCTTTAACTAGCTTTATTGGCATGCACTGGAATGAGAATATCTGCTGCAGAAGCCAAAATATCTTGATATCTTATTGGTAGCCTGACCTGCAAAGTTTTAAGATGCAGGAATTTCCAGGCCTTGACAATATTATGGCAAGAAAGAATGCTATCAAATTCTTTTTCTCCCTTTATTTCTGTGTAACCAAGGACAAGCTGATCCTGTCTGCCGCTTTCCCTTAACCGGATCCCCAAAATCTGGATATAAGACAATGTACAGGATCAAGATGGGCAGTGACCCATTTGCTCCAAGTAGATTGACACCCCAAAGGCTCCTGTGGCTGTGTGGTGTGTTTTAGGTTGGCTGTGTCCATCTTTAGACCAATGTTTGCTTGAGGATCCATATATGCAGACCGTATTTAGACCGTATTTGCTTGAGGATCCATATTTGCAGAAGGTCAGTCTGTGCTGGATTTATCCTACAAATATGTTTGCTGGACCATACTGCATGCTGGAGGGCTTGTATGACTTGGTCATTTGCAATTTGCTTCTGTACTTAGAATATCTTTGATCACTGTAGCAGCCAAAATCACCAGAACTGTGTCATCTTTCCTGCCTGCTAGTCTAAGATAGGCTAAGTAATGTATCCGCAGAAGTATCTAGGTTCTTGATTCTGACTCAGTTAGAGGAATTAAGGAATTCACATCTGAAACACCTTTGTAGCATACACATTTTTAGGATCTGAGACTTAGCACTGTGTACACATTTTTTGGAATAATGTACATTATGCCCATATAGAGCAAATAAATTTGTATGGGAAAGAAGGACTGTAATTCTCATTATATTAAATATGCATCAAAACCCAGCTTCTTTAGAAGCATCACTGAATTATGCCAACATGCTGGAAAAACAACGGACATCTCTTTCTCTCTCTCTCTTTTCTCTATCCAGGAAGCAGTATATGAAAAATGTAAAATGTCCTTACTCATGGCATGAACTAGATCAGAAGAGAAAATTCATGGAGAAAGGGCACTAGTGTTAATTTACATTTCATAATGAACTTAGTACCACTGTGTCTGTCCTCTTTTGTGTTCACTTCCTACTAATTCT